TTTGGGAGGATATCCTGCCACAAACAGATCGAGTGCAATGGTGTGTGAGGGATGCAAGTTGCACGGGGCAGCACAGGGAACATGCGGAAAATGACAAATTAATTTTTTTTTGCTTTGAGGTCCCACAATAAAGCCATTAGCAGACTTTCAAATGGTGCAGTATTTAACAAGCACATTCAGATTAATGCAGACAGGCCTGTATTTTTTTGCATGCAAAAGTATGAACATGTTCTCTGATGTACACCCACACATGAAATAGCAAAACCGATTTTGTATAATTATATTGAAACTGACTTTCATGTCCTCTTTGACATGGCTCCTCTAAAGCAAGTGAAAGTGAGCAGCTATAAAATCAAAATAGATTTGACTTCAGTTATCAAGCTTAAAAGCGCACAATTTTCAACTTGCTTCATGTCTGGGAAGAACAAAATAAATAAATAAATAATGACATGACAGAGAAATCATAAATCACTTTACACATCAAGGCCAGGAAACATTAAACGCTTTCGGAGAGGTAGATGAAGGCAACAACTGCTGTGTGTTAATCATCGTTATATCAGATTTCATTGGGATAGACAATGCGCAGTCCAGCCTTGTTCTCTTGAACACTTCCCCTTGACTGGCATAAGTTAAAAAATATAACGACAACACACCCAAAATACTTTTAAGCAGATGCAAAATACATTCACACGCAGAAACACAGTAACAGGTCACAAAACTTGAAGTGTCACACTCAAATTCCTCTGCTGCACAACCTTTTTAATGTTCCTGTCATAATCTGCCTCCACGCTTGGTTGCTTTGTTGTTGTCTTGTTATTGTGGGAGACTGCAATATACTTGTCAGACAGGAAAAGAAAATAGAAAAACTTTCAACCGCATCCTTCTGTCTCTTCTTCTATTTCATTTTTGTCACCTCTTTGCTCTCCCTCGTAGGCTGGTGAGCTTTCCGTGCTAACCAGACCCAGTTAATCCTACGCACAGAGATAAAGTAACACTTGCACATATAACATTCATGAATAAAAAGGACTTCAGCATTATGATTTGGTTTTATCCCGTCACAAAAACAACCTACACATAACAAACCTGCCAAAAAACAAAAGCACGTAGGCACAAACCGTGACGATAACCTACCGAAACCTCCAAAGCAAACACAATTTAAAAGCACACACACTGAGGTGTTACGTATGTGTAACTTCCAGCCAAGAACCACACTACCACTTTTTTGTCATGAAGACCTGGAACAAGAACAGACTGTACAAACACACAAGAGACTAAACTGTGTGCGTGGGTATATCTTTACAAAAAACAAGAAAAAAATTCAGCACCAGTAACGATGAGAATTCAATATATGATTAGACGCTGGTGTGATGGAGAGAGTCAGCCTGAATAAACTGTAATGTAAAATCAATACTGTAATCAATATAAAGAACGTAAAGTTCGTTGTGAAACATATTCCCTGAATGTGTGCCATCTCATTGGATTTTCATAGCTTGGGATGTGGTTTCTTTTGATAATGGAACCATCACACTGGGGATATAAAATGGCAAGCAGGCATGACTGATTTTCATAGTACCATTATTATTTTTAATCATAATATAGAGCTGCGTTTGGAAGTATCATGTTCAGTATATTTTATTTTAAAACTGAATTTCAAAAACAGCTGTATAGTGTTACACAAATGGCCACAAATGGACGGGAATAATCTGGGCCTCTGACTTTTTTATACATCTTTGTATGGTATGTATGCATGTATTTTTTTTATGCATTGTATGCATCTATGATTTCAAACTTCCACTAGATCCAGTGAGACATTTGTCGGTGTTAACTGAACACCTACACTGACTTAGAGCGTCACCTCAGAGGTCCATTTACACATCCAACCAACACTTCTGATGTTATCACACTATATGTTCTGTCACTTTCTTTTTTTTTTTGCTGGTCTGGAGCATTCAGGTGTGTGTTAAAACAATACCAAAGAGTACAGACAACAGCAATGCTCTTGAAGAAGCAATTGTTTCTGCCAATTAGTTGGCAAAGGGTTATATGGTAATTTCCAAACAATTTCAAATCCAGGTGTGGACGTTCCTGCAAATTCATCCCAAGGTCAGACCGAGCAATGTTCAGAGAAATGTTAGAGTCTGAAGGCCTCAGTTCATGACAGTACAATTAAAAGAAGACTGAAAATGTATAATTTGTTTGGCTTTCTAGGAGAAAGCTTCTTCTCTCTAAAAAGAGCATGGCAGCATGGTTTAGATTTGACAAGTTTTATCTGAACAAATAGTTTTTACAGCGTCGTTTGGACAGATGAGAGCAAAGTGGAGATGCAGCATCTCCATAATGCACAGTACCAGTTTTGGTGAAAACCAAACACAGCACAACAGCACAAACACTTTATACCAATCAATCGTGGCTCAAGAGTTGGGCGTTCGCCTTGTAATCGGAAGGTTGCCGGTTCGAGCCCCGGCTTGGACAGTCTCGGTCGTTGTGTCCTTGGGCAAGACACTTCACCCGTTGCCTACTGGTGGTGGTCAGAGAGCCCGGTGGCGCCAGTGTCCGGCAGCCTCGCCTCTGTCAGTGCGCCCCAGGGTGGCTGTAGCTACAATGTAGCTTGCCATCACCAGTGTGTGAATGTGTGTGTGAATGGGTGGATGACTGGATATGTAAAGCGCTTTGGGGTCCTTAGGGACTAGTAAAGCGCTATATAAATACAGGCCATTTACCATTATAACTGTCAGGACTGTGGTGGAGGGATCATTATTTTGGTTTTTGGTTTCTTTGCAGCCACAGGAACTGGACACCTTGCAGTCAATGAGTCGACAATGAACTCCCTCTCCACTGTCCACAGTATTCTATAGTCAAATGTGAGGTTGTCTATCTGACAGCTAAAGCCTTGGGCAAACTGGGTCATGCAAGAGGACAATGATCCCAAGCACAGCAGCAAATCTACAACAGAACGGCTGTAAAATAAAAGAATTAAAGTCTTGCAGTGGCCCAGACAAAGGCCAGACTTCAACCCAACTGAAAGGCTGTGTTGGGACCTTAGGAGAGCTGTGCATAAATGAATTGTCACACACTTGAATAAACCGAAGCAATGTTGTAAAGAAGAGTGGGCCAAAATTCCTCCAGAATGACATAAGAGATGGATTAAAAGAAAAAAGATTACTTTAAGTTGCTTCAAGTTATTGCTGCTCAAAGCAGCTATAAAAGCTATTCAATCATGGAGAGTATTTATTTATTGCACTCACCGCTTCTGCATTTTGGCTTATTTTTGTTAAACAAATAATTACACAGTGTAATACATCATGTATTGTTGTTCATCTCTAATTTTATGCCCTGGTAAGAACTAAGACAACCCACACAGAATGTGAGCTTTCTTTCTACACTGTATTGTTATAATTGTTCATAACCTAATTTGTTACATTTAAAAGATCCAAGTATCCCTTAACTTCACCCCAAACACCAGTGATTTGAATAATTTAGGCCAACACTTGTGCTTCATTCAGTCGGGCAAATGAGGCAACCCAAAGGAACAAGAGCTTTTAGAATCGGTTCTCCTGCACAATCATATAAACTTAACAATGAGTTCAGAAGCAAAGTGGATGCGGATAAGTGCTTACAATCACAATGCGGCAGATTATTATGTTCACTTTGTGAATCTGTGGCTGTCTGTATGTCTCTGTTGTCATAAAAATTGGGTTCTGGAGACAGGTAGTGTAGTAAGAACTACGACAAAAGAAGCAGCTTTGAGTACTTTGTCACCTGTCTATTTGCTTGTCAACCTGAGTTTCACAACCATGCAAGATGGAGTCTGAAAACTTAAAGATCAATATTAAAGGAGAGTTTGAAGATGGGTGTGGCCCAAGAACTCAGTGAGTCGTCATGTAAACATTAGGTAGAAAGATGTGTCGAGGACTGGATAGTTTAATGCCTCTCCATCTTACATTTACTGAGAAAGAGAGTACTTTCAGGATTAAGACTGTCGACACCTGAGAGCACTTCTTATACAGTATGGTAATTCATCTATTGATATAGGTCCTAGCATGCATACAAAACATGCATAGAAGATCTGCTCTTCAGTCTCCAGGGAACACTTTCTTCTTATATGTGAGAAGTTGTAGTGTAGGGTTGCAGGACCAAGGCTTCCTGTTCTATGTGCCAGTTATTGTTTATAAATGTAATCTTGTCAGATATTGGCTGATGGTTTCAAGTTTGCATTTTGGTAAATGTGTTTCTTCCTTTGCTCTCCATAGGAAGCAAAACCTATACTAGGGGTGGGGAAGTCCAGGCCTCAAGGGCCGGTGTCCTGCAGGTTTTAGATCTCACCCTGGGTCAACACACCTGAGTCAAATTATTAGTTCATTACCAGGCCTCTGGAGAACTTCAAGACATGTTGATGATGTAATTTATCCATACAAATGAGCTGTGTTGGTTCAAGGACACAGGTAAAACCAGCAGGACACCGGCTCTTGAGGCCTGGAGTTCCCCCACGCCTGACCTATACAAACACAACTGTTCTGTACTAGTCAGACTGCAAACAGAAACCAGTACCAAAAATCATGTTCCTTGATAATATCTGCATCTACCTAGAGATTACCTTTATTGCTATAAATTAGGTTGTAGAGTAATATTAATGTGCAAATACAGCAATTGCTGCAGACTGCTGCTTAACAGGTAAAGAGACTATTTAACAGAAACAACCATGGAAGACTAGATATTCACATCCTGACTCTTAGTACATATATGGTCATGCTAACAGCTTTCAAGTATTCCGAATTGTGTTTAGGTACTTCCCACTACAGTGTATACAGACTGCATTTTGCTATGATGGTACAAATACAAACTCACTGACAGGCTTACAAGGTGAAACTAACAAAACATCCGGCAAAACCTTTCCTGGGAGATCCTCCATCAGATTCTTGTGCCCTTTTGGTCTCTCTACTGCTGAGAAAGTGAAATCATTTTGCCATCCTGATACGTGTGTGGTTGTCAGAGGTACTTACTGCACAGACTTCGAAGACTGGGACCTGAACTTGCTAAACTCGCCTGGAGCGGTCCACTCTGTCCCCAGCTGCAATACAGAAGAGACAAGACACAGGTCAGAGAGAAGTCTACGACAAGCTGGAGAAGAGAAAGGGGCTCCACAAGCCTCAGAGCAGTATGAAAAATTCAGTTTGGTTTGCAAATCTTTTTAGAAATCAGCTGTGTGCTAAATAAAATACCAACTTTATCTTCATTGGGTACTGACAGAGACTGGTGTCTCAGTTAGCAGGTGGATGTCCTAAACTTATTTTTAAGTCAGAAATTGGATTGGTGGATCGCAAAGGACACCAAAAGATCCTGACTGCCTCCCTGGTTAGCAAAATAAATGAAAAGAAAATGGGAAAACAAGCTAATACATCCCAAAACAACAGGAAGAGTCAATCAGAAGGAAAGTTTGGAAAGGCAAAGTGAGCTAACAAATGAGAACTAATGACAATAAACAGACAGAAATAGAGGAAGTCAGATTCCCTGCCAATGCTGACTTTGAGAAGCCAGCTCATCTAAACCCCTGGGGTTCCTTTTTTGGCCCTGTGGTTGAGTCGGTGCCCATTCATTCTCTCAGCAAGCCAACACAAGTAATTAGGGCCCCTGCTGTTGCTGATCCATAATGAAAGAATGAAACTAAGATCACAGTGGGCATGTCTTTAATTGTTTGTGTTGGCCACACAACTGAGTTTGAGACTGGTCAAAAGACATTGCTGCGAGTGGTGCTAACAAATCAAAAGAGACAGTAAATAGCTGTTGATCCTCAATCTGTGTTACACAATACATGTTCCCAGAGAAAAACATATAGTGATGCACATGCATACACAAACAAATCAAAATGGCAATTGTACAGTGGCATATCTGAATGTGTTTGCTGGCATGAAAGGAGAGTCCCTATGATAATAAACCTTAAATCATGCAGCCTGTCCAAAGCCAATCAGGCCCCTGGCAATGCTGACGCCTCTGAGAGTCTTTGTGAGGCTACTGAGTAGAGAGGAGGAGGACACAATGTGTGCTACTGTGCTTTCAACTCTGGAGCCCACAGCATCTTGCTGCCACAGTGCATATTCACACCAACATTCCCTTCAAATATTCCTCTGGTAGGAGTTAGGTCACTGAAAGTGACATCAGGGAAGCTAGCTAACTGAGCACTAAGCAAAGTACTCCAGTAGCTTTGCATTAAAGATGAAGATACATTTGCAAACACATACGTGAGCATTTACTGGAAACAACTGTAATAAACTTTGTCCTCATGTTTTTTGTGCAAACTTGTTATCGTACTTGAATGTTTTTGTATGTTATTTAAAAAAGAAAGACTCACTTCTTATGCTGATAAGCTAAAATCTGCCATGTGGATATGACAGCCTACAGAGTAGGGATGGGTATCGAAAACCGGTTCTTGTTGAGAACCGGTTCCCACTGTTTCAATTCCTTGGAATTGTTTGCCATTTTTGTAAACGATTCCCTTATCGATTCCAGTCGCCCCAAATGACGTCACCACGTTGTGGAGCGTCATTTACCTGGCAGGAAACACGGCGCGTAAGCGGCTCAAACGCTCAAAAGTTTGGTTATACTTTATGAGAATGGATGACAACAGGGCAACTTGCAATACTTGTAAAGTAGATACTTCATTTAAGGGAGGAAACACTACGAATATGCAAAAGCATTTGCTCACAAAACACGCGATGACCTTAAATGAATGTCATGTTTTTAATTCCGCTCCGGACTCGTGAATCTCAACCCAGCAGCAGCGGTAACGTTTGCACGTCCTCTCCCGTTAATGCGGCAGGTAAATAATCAACTAACAGTGCATATTATGTTAGCGCGATCTGCTTTATTACAAAACCTGCCATTACTGTGCATTTAGGTGACCATGATGAGAGAGACAGACAGAGTCTGGCTGGCTGCAGTCTACCGGTAGCGTCTCCTTTCAGGCCAGGATAGACGAATGTCACCGAGCAGTGACTAAGTTTGTGGTAGAAGGTTTGCACCCATTTGCCACAGCAGATGCCACCGATTTTCGGTAAGTGAATGTGTTTAATTGTAGGCAGGGACATTACTGGATATTCTTGTGTAATTGCTACTGAATAATTTATTTTATACTTTGTTATTGCTACAGAAGAATATTTATTTTATTATTTTACATTTACAATTTTTTTTCCTGGGGACCCTGTGACACCCCATTGAAGAGCCGTAGGCTATGGATCTCTTAAGATCTCACTGTTGGGTTTGTAAGGCCATGTTACTCCTAAATTTCTACCTTGTTCAAAGAGAAGATATAAAACGAAGTTCTAAGCTAATCGAACTTAGTGTTCTCCTTTTTTAAAAAGAATCGATAAAGAATCGAATCGTTAAACAGAATCGAAAATGGAATCGGAATTGTGAAAATCTTATCAATACCCATCCCTACTACAGAGTGAATGTCTGTTAACAGTAAAATTGTGACGCTGGATACCAGATGTTCCGGCTAACCGTTTGATCTGTTACACCTATTATTTACAGTTTTATCAGTCACAACAATTCCACACATGCTTCTATTACTTTCGACAGTTAGTAACCGACCTCCATGACGGTTAAAATAACTCACAAGTTTCATATGACTACACAAGGCATTTCTGTAGAAGTGTAAAATCTTTCAAAGCAGAGGAAATTGGTGAAAAATGCAGCACTAAATTGAAATAGTCAACCTATGAGAAGACACTATTGAAAATGCCCCTATTACTGTATTGTACTTGCACGGTTTATGTTATACTCTCCCTTCTTTCAGGGTTTTTTTTTCTGAACATAAAAGGTAAAATAGAAAGCTATCACACAGCAGAGACAGCACAGGAAAAATATCAATCTCACCAAGTTGTGTCATCTAGTGCTGACTCTACATGCAGGAAACCTTCTGAGGGCGCATACAGGAAATCATTAAATTATATCTCTACAGATATTCAATTTATTTCCAAAGTAAATAGAATTTTTGGAGTGAAACTTGGTTTTATATAACTGGGATTATATTTATGCCGTCCTTTGAGCTCTAAACCTTTATGTGGCACGAGACGACTTACCTATTTATGCTCTGCAAAAATAGTTGATGATTTAGATTATTTTCTGAGCAGCTCAACAAAATATAGGATTCATAAAAACAAAAAGTCAGGGTGAACATAATTCAAAAATTAAAGCCTTTTTATTTTTAATTTGTCTTTTTGTGTCTCTTTTTTATGGTAACAAAGACATCAATCAACGGTGTGCATTGTGGTTACAAGGACAAAAGCTCTCCAATGAAAGGAGCAGATGTTCTTTAAGGTGCACATGCAGACATGCATC